CTGTGTAAGGGCTAAGGACCATGCATATATGGTCACAGATGATACACTCAACGTTGTAACATTGGCTAGCAATTCTGTATTATTGAAAACGGGTAGAGTAGAGAGGACCACAAGGCCGTGTTTGGCTTCGTCAATATGAGAATGACGCCTCAGCTTTTATTCCCCTCGTCAGCCAAAGATTTTAGATTCGACATATGACTTGCGAAAAAATGCATAATTTGTCTTTTGTGTGTGTGTGTGTGTGTGTGTGTGTGTGAGAGAGAGAGAGAGAGAGAGAGAGAGAGAGAGAGAGAGAGAGAGAGAGAGAGAGAGAGAGAGAGATGTGGTCTTGTGGACCAATTGGATGAGCCATGATCCAATAGGGAAAATTGCGAATTATACCCATTAATTTGGAAAATACATATATGATATATCAAATATTTTGTTTTTCGTAATTAAATTAAATATCATGGACCAATCAAATCGCGAACATTCTGTCCAAATACATGACTTGACATTTTTTTAAAACCTTTTGTAATTTTGTAATTTATAATTGTGCATGTAGTAGCTATGGCCTTTTTTTTTTTTTTTTTTTTTTTTTTTTTTTTTTTTTTTTTTTTTTTTTTTTTTTTTGGATCCAAGTTACTAGATATATTCTGCAATTTTTCCTATAAAAATGAATGTATGCATTGGCATATAAGTAAAATATTGCATAAAATACACTATTTTAATTATATGTATATAAAATTGGTACCACGACATATATATTTACAAATACACTGCTTAGATAAAATAATATGCATCACTACTATTCAACTACTTCGCTTCAATTTTTCTTTAAAAAAGAAATAAATTAAAAATCGAAATTTGGTATTCGCATTATCATACCAAAATGGTCCACCGTATAATTAACATTTTATATACCACGACCCATGAGTTTACTATAAAATATAGATGAATTGTATGTAAGCATAAGATATAAATATTGAATAAAAATAAATATACCGTATATACACTGCACGAAAAAATAAATATACATCACTATTCAGGGAAATGCTATGGTTCTGTTACGGAACATCTCGTCGGGTGTTTTAACTGTTAGATCATCTATCTTATACTAACTACTTGTGTATCCAACGGTTGTAACTTCAGACGAGATACTTCCGTAACGAGACCGCAGTATTTCCTCGCTATTCAACAACTTCAATTCAATTTTTTTTTTAAAAAAAGACAATATTTCATATTCGGAATTTGCATTATCGTACAAAAAATGGTCCACGGTATGGCATATGTATCAATCACGTGAGAGTACCTAAAGTTGCAGTTAAGTTGCAA